TCCCTTGGATTTCAAACATATCCTAACACATTCAAATAATGATGATGTAGCTTGTTTTCGATATTTTTATTTACTTTTGTTTCTTGTCTAATATATTAGCATAAAATAAGATTTTTTAAATACAGCTATTGCAGCTAACCAAATATTACCACAAATTTACATATTTTATAAGTAATCATATTAAAAAGGAAATATCCTTTCAGGTTACTAAGTAGATCAATATATCCACCTGAGAAGTAAACCATCAAATTGCAGAATTTATATAGCTACATGATTGAAGAGATGGCAAATTTTTGTTACTATGCTATTCTTAAAATGCTTTTACAATGTTTTTTTACCTGTACGCTCATTTACAAATATGTAATCAAATATTATCCAAATTTTAAAAAATAGCAGATGCATCTTGGCATGAATAAATTAGGCTTGAAATAACAGAGCTGTGATATTGCAGTTCAGTAATGAGAAAAATCAAATGAATAATAATCCAGGAGAATTTCTATGTGGAATTCAGATGTAAAATTGAAAACTTAAAACATAGGAATTTAATTATTTTCTAACCTTCTTTTTACTTTAGGACCTGACTGGCATTTAACATTAATTACCTTAGTTTAAAACACCAACCAATTAAAAAGAGTACTATGAAGAACTAGTAGCATGAGCCTTTCAATCTGTATTTTAAGTGTTACTAAAAAAAAAAATCCACCGTATTTCTTTCAATCACAGAGGAAATTACATTCCCAAATTTGGACTCTTTCATATCACAGCTTACACATTGTTTTCATTTTTTAACCAAACCTTACAAGTTTCTGAGTACTACAGAGATTTCTTAAAAACTGTAAAATAGGAAAAACTTCTGCGGATGGGCAGCAGTAACCATAAATAGGCTATTTCCTGGCAGTGATACCAATACAAATTTACTTAAATGTGTAATGTTACAGAGAAATAACCATTCCTACAGTCTGCTGAACAATAATTTGTTAAACTTTCTTATTTATAAAAGGTTAACTATTCTAAATGATAAGCTACTTCCTCTTAAATCTAATCTCTACAGCATGAAAGCAGTAACAGAAAGATAAAAAATAATTTACCTATGAACTAGCATCAGTGGGGATTTCCAGTTAAAACACTATATCCATATTAGGAACACTTCTCAAAGACAAACCTAACTGCTGGAATTTAATTTGTAAGTGTCTGTTAACTTTATTTCAAAATTCAATTCTCTCAAAAGACTTTGTTGCTATAGTTGGTAAATCTTATACACAGTTTCCTAAACAATATTTTTTTTATAAGATATGTTTAAAAGGTTTGATGTAACAACCAACACCAGACTTCCAAATCTCAACTTCTAGTGTTAATACTGAGTCCCACATTTCTAACTAATTAAAACTTAACTTCCTCGCTCTTTTTACTTCTACTTAAATTGGAAAGGTTAACAGTATTATTTCTAGTCACCTGGGCAGGAAATCTTGAATTCATGTTTGATTCCACAACCACTGCCAGGCTTCATCTATTTGCCTACAGATGCCTTCATTCCCACTGCCATGATAGTATTGCAAACACTTGGGACAAACTTCTCTTAAATAGAGTCTCCCATTCAAATCTCTTCTTACAGCATTCATTCTTCTGTTGTAAAATTATGTTTCTAAAGTCAAGTTGTAGGCAGATGATGACTCTGATAAAAATAACTCATAAACTGATATTTCAACTCCTATTACTTGATTTCAAGAATTTTAAGACAACTTATTTCCCCCTCTATTCACTCTAGCCAGTTCCCTTAACATTTCCTGTGCTTTTTCTTTTTTCCCACAAGATCTAACCAATCCTTCTTACCACCTGCTTCAAAAGCCCCTGGTAACCACAGTTTTGCATTTTCTACTTCTCAGTTCAAGTTTTTTAGATTTCACAAACATGTAATATTAGGCAGTGTTTATCTTTCTGTGCCTGGCTTATTTCATTTATAATAGTGTCATCTAGGTTCATCTGTGGTGTTACAGATGACAGAATTTCCTTCTTTTTAAATGCTGAACAGTATTACCTTGTGTATATGTACAATATTTTATTTGTCCATTCATCTATTGATGGATATGTAAGTTGATTCCTATCTTGACTACTATGAGTACTGGTCCAAGGAATGTTGGAGTGCTGGTAGCTCTTTAACATAGTAATTTCATTGGCTATATATCCAGTAGTGGGATTCTGGGATCGGTCCCATTGTTTTTCTATATACTAGCTTTGCTCACGATATGTACTTTCCTTAGGATGACATTCTTCTGTACATCCAAATCTTATTCATCCTTTAAGACCTAATCCAAATGCTGTTCTCTAGAGATAGTAAGCTGAAAGTCAGAGTCTCTGAACTCCTACATGACCTCATACAGGTTTCTCTATAGCAGTGTTTCTCTAATGTCTAACTTTAAGAGCATGTTTCATAAGATTTTTATTAAAATGTAAATTCTGAGTAAGTCTACATTTCTAGCAAGAATCCAGATGATGCTGATACAGCTGATCTGTTGACAATTTGAACATTATGGTGTTGTGGAACAGCCCGATTGTGCTTAGCACTCTGTTACTTACGAAGTATTCTTATTGTCCCTGTTTTCTTATAAATGAGGCATCTCTGTTTTGCACTGCAACTTGTACAGAAGATGTTCAACAAATATTTGTAATGTGTGTTTTTTTAATTGGAGGTTTTCAATCCTTTAGCAGTTTACAATATGGGTATGTGATATATATGTATATAGTTAAAACAGTAAAATGAAATGAGAAATAAAATTGAATGTCACACTTATTAAGGGTAAGTACTATTTCTTAAAACTTTTGTTGCAATTACACATATACAACTATATTTACTGGGTCAAAATGCAGATTTTGATATAAAAAGTTGGAAAATACACATTATGGGATGAACTGTGACTCCAAAAGATATGCTAAAATCCCAACCCTATTAAAGACTGGGTTATGCTGCTAAAGTCAAAGGATGCCTTGGACTACCAGAAGGTAGAAAAGGTAAGGAAGGATCTTCCCCTGTTGGCCTTGCCAACACCTTGATTTTTGGATGTCTTCTTTACTACTGTGAAGAAATAAATTACTGTTGTTTTAATTCAACAGTTTATGATAATGTGTTATAGTAGCCTAGTTAACTAATACAACATGGAAAGGTAGTACCCTTTTAAGTTAAATCTCAAGACTTTCTTAATTTCAGAATTATAAAGCTGGGCACCAGTAGCTCTCACCTGTCATCTCAGTTTCACAGGAAACTGTAATGGGGAGAATAGTGATTCCAGATCATCCCAGGCAAAAAGTTTGCAAGACTCTGTCTCAACAGAAAAAGCTGGGCATGGTAACAAGAACTACTCATCCTAGATACTATGGGAAACATTAATAAGAAAATTATAGTCAGGCCAGGCATAAAGTGAGAGCCTATCTCAAAAATCACAAAAGCAAAGTTGGGCACCGGTGGCTTATGCCTGTAATCCTAGCTACTCAGGATTGCAGATTGAAGCCAGTCCAGGCAAACAGTTCATGAGACCCTGTCTCCAAAATACCCAACACAAAACAGGCCTGGCAGAATGGCTCAAGTAGTAGAGCACCTGCCTAGCAAGTGTGAGGCACAGAGTTCAAACTCTAGTGCTGAAAGAAAAAAATATGTAAAGAACATAAATCTATGAAGAAAATGTTATCATGGCCACATATATTTTAGCACACAACAAACATTTTCAAATTTTGCAAAGTATGACTTGTCAAATGTCCTCGTATGAAGTACATCTCCCTAGTTACTTCTCTTTATTTTTTCATAGCACTAATCACAATGTATTAAGTTGTGTTTGTAGAACTTCTGTTTCCCTTACAGAAAGCAAGTTCCTTAAGGAACAGGGACTTTTTATGTCTTGCTTTTTACCATATTCTTGGATCCTGGCACACAGTAGGTTTTCAATACATATCTACTAAACAGAAAATAAGAAAAGTTCATAAAATAAATTATATGTGGCAAATATTGAATGCTGTTGTTTCTGTTTGTATCCGCTTGTTCTCCTACCCTTCCAAGAAAAATTCACTAAATAATGAAGAGATTGCAAATGTGCAACTATATTATAAAGTCTACAACAGGGGTTGGCAAACTATAGCCCATGGGCCAAATCTGGCCAGCTACATATTTTAATAAACTCAGCCACCTTTATTTATTTATCTCTTGTCTAGTGCTGTTTTTCTACAATGGTAGTAGATATTTATAAAAGGCTGAATGGTCTGTGAAGCAAATTTACTATCTGATCTGCCAAACAGGCCTCTTTTTTTTCCTCCCATTTTTACTAGCATATTCATTGTATGGGGGGGGTTATGTTGTGACAATTCAGAATAGCCCTACATTGTACTTTGTTTACATCATCCCCTCCCAACCCCACCCAGTCCCACTTACAGCTATTACAAAGTTTCCTTGTTTTATCTCCTATATGTATATAAAGCCCATGAACAATATTACTTCACCTTCCTCCCTCCCACAAGTACACCCCACACACTGTACCTATTTTACAGTCTGTCTTTCATTACAGAATACAAAGTCAATGTTCAAAAGGGTTTCTCAATGTATTCCAGCTGTGAATATGCTTTACTTTGGTCAGTGCAACTCTCCCTTACCCCTTCCCTCCAACCCCCCATTATCTGACAGCTTTCAATACATAACATTTTATCATCTACTGGCCCAGATGTGACTAATATATTTTGGTATTGTTGACTCTCAATCATTCTCTTTTCCTTTCCTTCCTCTTCCGAGTTCCACAGTGTAGTTCCACTACTACAAACATGTTCCACATGTAGACGTGTACATGGTCATGTTTGTTTTTGTGTATACATTTATCTCTTGGATCTATCTTTTACATATGAAAGAAAACACAAGAAGGCTTCTCTATTTTTAATTATATATTACACAATTGCTTGACATCTAATCATACATATTACAAAAATTATTTTTAAAAAAACCAGAATGATGGAAAAGACTTTTTTACCTTATTGTAATTCTTGGCTAATTCCAACATCTCTTTTACCACTGATTCATTGTGTTTACAATGTTCACTGTAGTCCTGAAGTGTCAAACCTTCCATCCAACTCTTCTTATGCAAATTTAGCAACATCTAAACAACATTAAAAAAAATAATTATTTTCCTGCCTTAAGGATACTGACTATTCTTGGAAGGCCACAAATTTTCGTGTGTGTGTGTGTGTGTGTGTGTGTGTGTGTGTGTGTGTGTGTACACACGTTGTTTTGTTTTGGTTTTTTTGAGATAGGAACTTTTATCTTCATGGCCTCAAACTTGTGAAACTTCTGCCTCAACTCCCAAGTGCTGGGATTATAGGCATGAATCACCCCACATCTGGTTTTCAAGTTTTGTATTTTTAGTGCAGTTTTTCTTTTAAAGTCTGACTCTATGAATTTTCTTAAGAAAATTCATTGCATAAGAAGTTGTTTTATTTTGATAATTAACAAAATTATGAAATGTGAAAAAAAGAATGATGGCTTCTGAATGGTCGTTTTGTCACCAGACCAGTGTGCAAAACTTTAAGGGCCAGCAGTACACTTCAGTGGTAAAGTACTTGTCTAACATGTGCAAGGCCCTAGGTTCAATACCCAGCACCACATACACATACACACACAAAATCAAAATAACCAGTATGTTTTCAATAAGACTGCTGAACAAGGACAGCCTGAAGATATAATTTTTGGAAATGCATGGGTTTAGCTTATTTTGTTTATATTTGTAACTATTTGTGGTAAAAGTTTATCTTACATTGGAAAACAAGGTACACAACAAAATTACCTATGAGGCTTTTCAAGATAAAAAGCTCCCCCATTCCCTTCCTATGGTCCAGGGGCAAAAAACTGTATGGGAAAAAAAAAAATTGGAAAAATCTTGTACATGTAACTCCAACTTCTTTGATTGTGTCCCATCTTTTCCACTCATACTGTTCTAGAAGGCACTAGGAAATTTTGGTATAGCTGCAACTACCTAAACTATAAAATGAAACATAAATATAGGCCCAATACAAATACAAGCAATATTGTATATGCACAGAAATACATACAGAGTATGTATCCAAAAGTGGGACTGGTGGAGGAGACCAAGGGAGGAGGAAAAGGAAAGAAAGCAAATAATAATGAAGTATGTCGTCTGTGGAGAAACAAGACACAAGGAAACAGGCTGAAAACTGTTAAACAACACACGATTGGGGAAAAAGGATGAAGAAGTGCAGTGGAGGGAGGCTGCATTGACTTAAGCACAATGCATGTACATGTAACATACCAAGGCAAAAATCCCACTGAAAAACAGACACCTAACCAATGAAGGACAAGAATGGAAAACAGGTCACACTAAGGGGAAGTCACTACCATGAAAGGAAGGGTAAAAGAAGGAATTAAGGTGAATATGGTTGATGTACATTCTATACAAGAATGAATATAGAATTTTTAAACCTGTTAAAATCACCATAAGAAGGGGACTAAGGTAGAAAGGAGGAAAACGGAGGGGATGAACCAATTTCAGCTATAATACATATATACATGGAAATGTCATAATGAAACACCCTGTATCTTAAACAAACAAAAATGTCTTTTATTTCAAAAACAGAGGCTAAAACAGGTCCTGTTTTGGAGCTGGTACCAGTGGTAGGCTGGAGGATATAAGGAAAGGGTGTCAGAGAGTGACTGTGGTGGAAATATTATATACTCATGCATGAAAATTTAAAAAATGAGACCTGGGGGCCAAAGGAGAATGATGGAAGAGATGAATTTAACTAAGATACATTGTAAGCACTTTTGTAAATGTCGCAGTGTATCCCTGGTATTACAACAATAGCAAAAACTTAAAAATTTTGTTTAAAAATGAACTATAATAAATGTTGAGAACTAGATTTCCTTACTGCTTCAAAAGTAAACAAGGAAAGTTTCCAAGGAGCAGCAGGCTATCCCTATCAAGCCTGGACAAGATTTCCATCAGGTCCTTCAGGAAAGGCATGGGGTTAAGTATTCAGGTTGGTTAAAAGAATAAAGGCAGAGCTTCTGCTATTGAGAGAACAGCCAAACTGAGCTATTAAAAATGAAACGGTGGCTCACACCTGTAATCCTAGCTACTTGGGAGGCTGAGATTAGAAGAATCTCAGTTTGAAGCCAGACAGGGCAAATAGTTCATGAGACCCCCATCTCTAAAATAATTAGAGGAAAAGGGACTGGAAGTGCAGCTCAAGCAGTAGAGCTCCTGCATTGCAAGCATGAAGTCCTGAGTTCAAACCTCAGTCACATCCAAAAAAAAGAAAAGAGAAAAAAAAATAGCATTAATTTACATAAGCATTTATATTAAAGAAAAAATTATGTGTTAGCTGGTTATTACAATGGGTGGGCATCAGATATCAGAGTGATAAATATATGTCTTTATCTAAATTAAGTTTTCACTGTGAGTGGTGTCCTTTTTCAGTCTGTAATCATTCCATAAAATTAAGTGTCAAAATGTGTCTCAAGCAACCAAATGAATCTATCACAGCAGAAGTAAATCGTGGGACACGTGCAAACAGCTGAAAGAGCTTTATAGGGTCCCATCCAGCCAAGGGGGAACTGGTGGTTCCCGGCTCCCCGTAGTCCTTGCTATGCTTAAGCATCTAGACCATCCAGGTGAGTTAATGGGTACCTCTGATCTTTTAAAAACGGGTTTGTTAAACTAGAGAAAAAGAAAAAAAAGGAAGGATTTTCCCCCAAAAGATATAGCGCATCCTCCTTCCGAATATATACACAAGATTAAAGGTAGAAGTGCTCTGGCTGGAAGAGTGGGTAGGTATGGACAGCTCATCTTATACTCTGCTTCCAACTCACCAGATACAGCAGAAGCCCCTCTGAACGAGTTTTGTGAGAAACAGCTTCAACTACTAAGCATGGCTTTATTTATTACTCGATACTTATTTACCATGTTTAAACTTGCAGAGTATATAGTAACCAAACTCTATAGGTTTATCAACGGTAAATTCAGTTTTCTTAAAAAAAAATTTTAGTCTTTCCCAGAATGAAATTATAAGAAGCTAATTTAGTGGGTAACTAATTACAACAGTAACGGAGGAAGAAAAGTTGTTCAGGTTGTCATTTAAAAAAATAACAGGCAGACTTATCTCTTTGATATTAGTTGAGAGAAAAAACTTTCTTTAGGAATAATTCTAAAATAGTAGAAATAAACAAAAGAATACAAATCTACCAAGATGTTATTTTTAAAAAGTAAATAAAATTGAAAATTTCCTAGTACGAAAACTAGTAAGAATCTAGCTTGAAATATCTGAAAACTGTCTCCCTTTTAACTTTCAAAACATGGCATGTATTTTTAAAAAGCACTACGCAATTAAAATTTAATTTATTCTTATCAAATTTGAAATGTTACAGTTAATCATATTACAAAAGTTCATTTTATTAGAGATGAAAAATTAATCAGAAAAAAACCACAGAACTACGGGAAATATTTTTACAAAACTGAATGCTTGATTTGTTTCTTATTTCCTCTCCCATCCTAGCACCTACCAACAGGAGAAAATATGTCTTTCAATAAAACACTACTTTATTGGAACAATATTTGGAAACATCAGAAGGATTCAACAATTCTAATTTAAATCATATACCAGGGTAATAGTTAAAATAATTTGAAAAAGATTTTTTCCTCTTCTAAGATACAAAAATTTAAATTTACCTTCTGTTCCAGTTCATTTTTCCGATAATTAATAGTGATGGAATAATAATGTCTGTTCAGTCCATGAATTAATGCCTACATAAATGATTTTTAAAAAAGGTAAGTTAGTATTTTTCGTGTTTTAAAATACAAACATTTCAAACAGCTGACATTTATTGTACTTTATCATCTTCTAAAAATGGCACTATATCCTAAATTAAGATTAAAGTAAAACATTTTCCTCAGCTATATGTTTAGAAGTCACAGTAATGCACTTGTTCATGTACTCACATTAATCTGGGGTTTTCCTTTTTTAAATTCAGTTTTGATTGATTTAAGTCATTGTGCCCAGGCACATCTCCAAATTAACAATGTGAAGCTTATTCTTTACCATGTCTAGCTTACTCTCTTATCCAGTGACATGCAAATCTCACTAACCAAGGTTTTTTCACTATGCTCAATCTCCAAGAAAAATAGGCCAATCATAATAAAAATTTAAACTAATAGCATGGCTTTATTAAAAAGCAGTAACACTGGTTGTGATGGAATCAATTCAGAACTGTTCGAGCATGTAGCTCTAGTAATGGGTTCAAATGTGATTCCAAACAGTATTTTGGGAAACCTAAAAAAAAAAAATCTATCAGTCTAGTAAGACATGAAACTTATAAATATTTTCAATGCGTATAAAAACCAAAAAGGGCTTTTGGATTAACTGTCAGAAATCTAAAGACAAAGCTAACCAAAATGACCACCACTCTCTAACTGATTTTTACAATGTAAGTCTTAAGATGCTAGCAATGGTGAAATGAACATTTAATGAGCAACTAGCATCTGCTTTACAGATCACATCTTCAACAACAATCCAGTAGTAAGGTAGGCTAATTCCAAGTGTATTATGAAAGCTGAAGAAAAAAACCACAAATCTTAATTTGTCCCAATTTATATCTAGTAAAAGGCAAGGTTGGGGATTTGAATCTACATCATACTGACTCCACAGCCTATGTTCTTTCTAACATATTATGTTAGGAAATTCTTGGATTAAGTCTATATACATTAAGGATCTTTATGAAAACAAAGGATAATCTTATTTTTAAGATATGTGAACAAAAATCACTCCTAGAAATCTAGTATTAAAACATCTTAGGTATGTATGGTGACAATCCATTCTTATATTCCTAATGTCTGCTATAAAAGTGAGCTATAAAAAGTAGTTGCTGATTCCAAATGGTTGACATATGAAATTAAGTCACCAAGAGTATCTATTAAATCCTTAACCATTTTAATAATTATGAGAAGCAGTGAATTAAATTTCAAGGTGTACAAATGCTACATTGTACAGATAAAAAAACATAATCTTTGTGTGGATCAGGAAGTGCATCATCTGGTGCAGAATTTAAAACTATGCCAGGTTCTCTGAATAGACAAAACCTGGCTCAACAGTGGAGCTTTGGTTTCATGGTCTCTCATCCAAGCACCTTTGTGCAATGCACTAGCTATGCAATTCTACACTGTGTCACAGTTGTGACCAATACATATAAAAGCCAGCCAGTGGGTCTACAGATGGGTCTACATTATAGAGATCAACTATACTTGTTGAAATATACAACTTGGTATTTAACAGCACTGTCTACTTGATTTTCAATGGTATTATTTAAAGAAATCTAACACAGTCAGCATGAAAGATTAACAAGTGTAAAGATAAAACAAATGAAAATTTAAATCAAATGATATACTCAAAACAGTCTTCCAGTTTTACTTTTGCTACATATCCCCAAATCATTTTTGCCAATTCATAAAGAACTGGACAAGAGCACATGCAGAAGGGGACTACACATGGCCAGTACCTCCATACACTAACCGCCACATAGCTGGGCATGGTGGCATAAACCCGTGATCCCAGCCCTAAAGAGGTCAAGTCAAGAAGATCACAAAATTTGAGGTAAGCCTATTCTTATACATAGAGTTTCAGTTCAGCCTAAGCAACAGAGGAGACCCAATCTCACAAAAATAAAACACACACACACAGTTTACAAATTATATATATGCCATTCGCAGGTTCTTGATAAGTTTGAAGTATTTCATGCTCTTAAAAAAGGTACACTTAGATCCAAAGATAAATATGCTTGTCTTAAATTATTTTACATCAATAAACTGGAAAGATGGGGCTGATATGTATTAAATCACCTTCTAAAATGAAGCCTACTATATATAGAAATAGAACAACTCAAAAAATAAACAAAACATGCTTTGTGGTTTCCTCTTAAGAACTGGGTTGCTGAAGACAAAATTGGAAAGTTTTTACTAAATGTCTTTTTGAACCTTTTGAATATTAGACTGCATTTATATACTATCTATATCAAAATTAATTAACTAATTAATTAAATTTCAGCTGTAATACAAAAGAACAAGAAGTTCTCACAGTTCCTAAAGTAATGCACTGAATAACTTGTGCAGCTCAACATTCTGGGTCTCAGCTGCCTTGTCTGGAAAATGACCACAATAGTTCCAGTGCAACTGCTTCATAACAGTACATTCAGTAATTGTCAAAAATGACGTTTTGCAAATAGCTTAACTCTATTGCATAATACAGCTCTATTCAGGGCAACCCTTACAAGTTCAAAAATCTAGAACATGCATCTATCTATCTATGCATCAATATTTAGTAAACTTCTATGAAGATGATAACCAATCTTCAAATTTATCATGACACTTGAAGACCTGAAATGTCAATGAACAGCTTTTAATGGGATAGTTAAAAATTTAGTTACCACAATACTTATTAACTTCCAATTGTAAACATTGAACAATACAGTTAAATGTTCCAAGCACAAAATAACAAAGTCTCATACATTAATACAGGAGCCTGTAGTACTGCATAGGCATTGTATTTTTCCCTCTCTACCAGGAATGATGACTTTTCTTATTTAAAACATTAAAATGAAAATAAATTTGTCAATTAGTCACTTCAGCATTGTCACTAGTGCTTTAAAAAAACACATTTTCTAAAAGCACTGTATGCTTCTCTGACAAAAGTTTGAGAAATATGGATCAAGAATGATAATAATAAAAAACTCCCACAACTGTCCTACATGGAGGTAATCAATATTAACATCTTGGTATGAATCCATAGGCACAGTTCATAGAATATATACTTACAAAATGGAGAACTTGTATATCCTAGTTTAACAATCTTTTACCTAGTATATTTTAAACTTTCCTCAAATTACTAAATAACATTCTACAATATAATAATAACATTCTCTTGCTACTTTAAGTATAATAGTAAAGAAATCAAGTGTTAAAATAATCAATAGTGGCTACCAGCATGTGTGCTAAAGGCTGCTATCAGACTTGTATCCCTAGTATTTGAATGTTGGTATGGAAACAGATTCCCTCTTAACACCAGCTAACTTTCCCTTCAAAATAAAACACATGGCAATTCTGAAAAGCATCTAATCCCCAAGTTAAAGATTTGGCAAACGTATATTAAAATTCTACTGTAGATGTTGCCATTCACTTCAGGCTCTTCTGGGTTGCTTTCTTTCTAGCTTGTCTTAGAAAAATAAGAAAGTATTTTAAGGTGTGGCTTTGTTCCGGCATGTTTTGGCTTGATCCCATTTGTATGTTTTAGTATTGAAATTGTCTTAAAACTGTAAAGCACTGAGATAGATGTCATTCTGATGGGCGCTATATAAACTGTGAAACAAATATATTTACAGAGTCTAATTGGAAGGCAAAACAAACTAAAATGACAGGAAAAATAATGATGCTGTAGCTGTTACACACGTAGGTCGTCTGGCTTAGATTTAGAAACTGCTTCAAAAGGTCCATCTTGAATTATGTTATAAAGTAGCATTAAAAATTACAAAGTGAACTAGTGTCAAAAAATATATTTTAATATACATCATACTCAATTTTATAGTGAAAAGTGTGTTTTAATTTAAAAAAATGAAATGTGCAACAGGTGGCTGTTGATTTGCAATTAGCAAAAACTGGCAGAAACATACCATGTAATAATCACAATGATTTTGGATTGTGAGATGCTACTTAACCTTTTGCAAAAACTAATGAAGCAGTATGATGCTACAAGGGGTTTATAAGAAAGGTCATTATCACAGGCTAAACAGGTTCACTAATATATTCTCTTGGAACATGCAAGTATGGGCTTGTCTGGGCCCAATCAAAATCAGTGGTAGTTTATTTCATACTCATTATACTTTGTAGTTTTACTCCACTCGTAAAAAAATTTTTTTTTCAAAAGTAACACATCTCAATCCTTTGAAACAATACATTCCACCTTAATGAAGACTTTGGATAAGTGACTGCTATAAAATTATGCATTTCAAAGTACAAAGTTATCAAAGTGTAACAAAGCCACAACTCCCCAAAGACAACCTATGGAAGAACAAGGTTTCAGAAGAGGAACAGCAATAGCTACTATAATGTCTTTGTCTTGTGTGTTTTATTTAACCAAACATGATATATTTGTCCTATTAATTAATTGTTAGAGAAGCAATTACTTATACAGACATAGGCTGTGACACATTTAACATAATTTTTGCCGACAACTAAGATTTGTATTAAAACAATGAGACATGTTTTGTGAATAATACAATGAAAACATTAATCACTCAAGAGGATATAAAAGGTTTGAACACCAATAACTCTAGAAACAGTGGTTGATATTATATAAAACAATATAAACTCTCATTAAAATAAACAGATGTGTTTTATAGGACTGTAAAGGTGCAATTAAACACAAAAAGATAGAACTTAAGTATTACCTAAAACTGGTTTCTTGGTCCTCTTAAAATATATTATGTTTTTCCATTATTTTCTGCTATGAGAAATGTCAATGAACCAATCAATGATCCAATATCCTCCACTTGAAGCTCTAAAGGCCCTTTTCAATAATGTTAACCACACAGAAAACACTCTCAAGATAAAAGCTCTACTATGAGCCCAAAAAGGGTGTCCTCAAAATATAATAAGAAAATTTAAAGAACTCTCTAAAGGTTGACTATATATGAGCAAATCTAATTTTTTTTTTTTGAGATGGAATTTTGTTCCATTGACCAGGTTGGGTTCACACAGTCCATCCCCCAGCACCAGACTTCCAATTAGTTGAGATTACAGCACAATTCTCTTTTAAAATGCAAAAAAATTAATTGCAAGCAAATTAAAATGCTAAGAATGAGATCTTAAATGAATTTTAACACATTATCAAATACAGCCATTACCTGGATAGATGGCTTGTTTAAGTGACCCAGATTTGAAGTTGTTTGTCTTGGTTCATGTCCTAAGACCATCATATTAGCATTGATCAATCTGAAGGCATCAATAACAACCTGTAAAAACAAGGTGTCAAGTCAATTCTTTTTAAAAACAAGCAATGATGCCAAGTAACAGTGGACAAGGCATGATCAACTTGCATCTGTTCTGGCCTATTTCCAGAAAATCATTTAATTATAATATTAATAAAAAAGAACCTCCTGCTGATTGTCCCATCAGCATACCATCCTTTATCTTGTAATGTAAGGTGACACCAATTATTGCAATTTTCCTGAAGCAGTAAAGAAAAATATTAACTTTGCTTCTTTATCATTAAAATACATCATTACTAAACTTATACCAAATAGCCTTCTTTGGTGTGCCTATGTTTGTCACCAAAATTTTATCTAGTCAAAATCAATGATAGAGAAGCTAAAACTGAAAGTGAGCACAAGCTAAGGGACTACATCTAAAGCCCAGACCTGTCACATCAATTATACCACCATAATACTTGAAATGACAACAAAATTACAGCCAGCAAGTCACTTGCCCATGTATTTTCTACTAGTCAGATACCTTTTACTTCTTGTAACTATGGGAGACTTTATACCTTGTCTGATGGCCTTAAAGCCACTGTCAAGTATAGGAGGCACAGCATAAGAAAACCAAGGTCATCCATGCTTTAATCCAGGAGCACAGTATACAATGATATGACCACAAATTCATAGTAAAGAAATGACAATGGGTATCTTCCTTTTGTCTATACACAAAGACTTCAAATTCTTACATGATACAGTATCATCTGTTAGCTTAGAGACTAAGAAGAATCACATAATATCCGCTATTCTTTACTGTCATGCTTATGTTCCTCATTACGGATTTGAAAGAACTTGTTAAAGCTTTTATCATTGTGAAGGTTTAGGTGAAATCATGTTACTTTAAGACAGAACACTCTTTATAGAAATTAATTTAACTCAATACATTTGTCACATAAAACATCTTAAAGCAAGATAATATAGTATTTCCAATTTTACCTTTAAGTGTTGAACTGAAATTTGCCAATGTTTTAAAATATTTTTTAACTAGATATGTTCCCATGTGAACAATTATTAAAGTATACTGAGAGTACAAATAATATTTATATTCAGGCTTACGTCAAATGGAATCTAATGAAGATTAAAAATCTATCTATAAATGGTATTTCTAGATACTGTATGCTAAAGAATAAAAGACAAATGAATTAAAGACAAATCATCCATTCTAACAAGGCTGCTATGAAGGATCCAAATATTTTATTTACAAAAATATACTTATACTAAATATTATGACAATAAAATCAATCCAAGGATTCTGTCCACTCCAGTTAGCCTTAAAAAAAAAATTTTGAATTTTGCTTTTAATCCAAACAGTTTGAATTTTCACAAAGATTCTTCTTGCTTCAAAATAAAACCAAGCCTCCCTAGAACATTCATGGCTTAATAGTTTGTAGAAACTTTTTCCTTTTTATACAATAAAACACTTAACCTTCACATTTATATATAAATGAATGTGGTTTAGGCATCTTTCTTTTCATTTTATTTTCTTTTGCCTGGTAGTACTGGGGTTTGAACTCAAGAGCTTCCTGCTTGCTAGGCAAGCATTCTACCACTTGAGCCATCAGCCCTTTTTGCTCTGGTTATTCTAGAGATAGGGTCTCACTTTTTGCCCAGGCTAGCCTGGACTGTGCTCTTCTCATTGTATGCTTCTGCGACTGCTAGTTTGACAAACTTGAACCACCATGCCCAGCTTTTACAATTGAGATGGGGTCTTGTAAATTTTTTGCCCAGACAGGCTGGAAACTATGTTCCTCCAATTTCATTCTCCTGCATAGCTTGGGATGACAGGTGCACATCACCACAGCCAGCTTGTTTGAGATGGTGCCTCACGAACTTTTTGCTTTTGCTAACCTTGAACCCCCATCCTCTTAATTTCGGTCTCCCAAGTAGTCAGGATTACAGATGTGAGCCACCTACACAGGGCTCCTAGGTTTTCCTATATTTAATTTTTTTTCTAATTATACATTCTTTCTTGATAAAGCAATTATAAAAAGGTACTAATGGCAGACATACTATAATCACGTTATCATAAATAACTCCAAACAATTATTTAAAAAGACCCACATGAAATTAAATTTTTCTCACATTTTGTACAAAAAAGCACATAAAATAAGATCAAGTTACAATGTAAGCAAAGGAGGGAAAAGTAATGATTTTGCCAGATAGATATACAACCTAAACAAAAATTGTTACCCTAACTATTATTGGTAAATATAATGAAACAAAGTATCACTTTGATCAAACTGTTTCATGATTACATTTTAAGATTTTAGTAAAATCATTTGTATGGAAAAAAAACCTGCCATAAAACTATGGATATTTCAATATATATAACACAATGAAATGCTCATATAATTTTTTATACTGAATGCCTTCAAACTAAAACAGCAGACAGCTATTTTACATGAAAAATTCCCTGTCTTATTTCTCTGGAATAATGTAAGCAGGTGAGAAACTTCACAAAAAGGAAAAGAAAAGCGAGTGGAGTCGTTATTTTAATTTTTTAAATTAAAAAAATTTAATTCATAAATTAATTCTATTAAGAAGAGAAAAAATTAAGGACTCAATATACAGTTCAACTAATAAGTGATAGCCAATATGAAATGATGTTTAAACTGCCAATTCCTGAGTAGCAATATGGTAAGTCAATAGAAATGATTACTCTACACTAAGATTAAAGGAATTTGCTGCCATCACTATAGCAACTGTCTTAAAGAAACTAACATGCTCAACAACCTGCAGACCAAAATTAGATTCAGCATGCAATAAAAAATAAATATGGCAATATAGTCTACATTTTAGTTTCTGTACAATTTTATAATTGCTTTTTCTGCTGTGAGAATAACTGGGTTTCTCCTTTAGAGCAACCTATCAAAATAGACTCATTAATGTCCAGTGTACTAATGAGCCATGGGTGAAGAAGTGTTAATTATGCCACAGTAAGATTCAAGAAAAAGCCCTAGTGAGAACTTGGAGGTGTGTATAAGCTGAAGGCGTTTCTCCATGTTTGTGTATTTACAGCATGATGCAACAAAATGACAGCAAAGTGGTCACTCCGTGGTTAGGAACAGAAATCTTAGATGTTAACATACTAAACAAAGAACCCCCAAAATTAATTAAGGTATTGAGAGAAGGAATAGTAATTTTTGGAGCTTTCTGAATTTTCTAAATAGTTCATTTTGAAGTATATAACCATTAAACCAGTTCAGTTTGTCATGTAAACCTCAAATGGTAATTTAACCAAAAAGTACACAAAATCATCTACTTAATACGAAATAACAAAACCTCCAAGCTAAAGTATGAAAAATAATTTCTAGAATGTGATGCTATGCTTTAAAAACTCCATCCCATGCTGAAGTCCTGCAAACCACATTGACTCTCTACTCAGCAGCCTGACCATTTAATTTTTTCTGGTACAAGTATCTTGAGACTTTTCAGAGGTCACTGCAACAGTAGACAGCTTATAACAAAACCATTAGCAGTTTGGCTAGCTTAGGGAAACCTCTTACTTTCCTTTTTTGTTTATTATCACTGCATGAATCTGCAGCATATGATAGTTTATAATTTCTCAGGCTTGTTAAATTCATGTTAAAGGTCTGTTTTCTTGTTGAATAAATTTTGTTCATATAATGCTGCCTATTTCATACACTCAGTCTTTAATAGCACCTTTGGTCTATGCGCAACTCACAGATCAAAACAGAGGACTAAAATAGGGGTTGATGATGCTATTTACATGTGTGATTCCTGCTGTCTTCTTGTTAGTAGCTTTAATATAATAGAAGACCTTGTCTGTTTTGTAATTAACACATCTTTACTGGAGAGATATTTGGAAGTGATTGCTGTGAATATACTGGTTAGTAAAATAAACACAATCACACACCACTTTCTGTTATCAGACAAATTTGTGAATTGTACACATTATACTCCAGATCAACAAACTGTGATATAACAGCCAAGTAGAAGACACATATTTATATAACCCCTTATTTTTCTGAAAATATGTATTCACTCTGACCTTGCAAATATAATTAGCTTGTGGGATGTGCAGATTTCAGTATCATGGTTGCTTTACTAATTGCAACTCTTGGAAATAGATACTAAATATTTGGAAGCTGCCAATACAAAATAAAAACTGCATCTTTTTTGTACATCTGTCTTAGCTTATAAAAGCAAAATAGTTTTAAAAACAATACTGAGCTCCATGTTTACTCCAAGCATGCCCAAGGGTCAAGGAACTATCATTTCATTTTAATGATGAATGTGCTTTAGAACTTACAAATTCTAATTATTTTCAAAAATCCACTTAATTCATAAGTTTTTGGCTTCTTTCATGAGTGTAGTATAGTTCATCCAATATGCTTTTTATTCTTGAATTCATATTTTCCTATCAACTGTTGGGTCACTGAAAGACTAGACTAAATTTCTAAAGTACCAATCTACAGTTCCCAATTCTTACATTCAAAGAAAGTTGTTTTTTAAAGCACAGCTCTTCAAATTTAGTTTAATACAAAAGTGTTTTAAAGAAAAACACATAAATATTTCTGGCAGTGGTTACTGTTAATTCCCCCTTCCTCCAGTAGCTTCCTGAGGCATTTCTGATTATACTTACATTGAAGTCAATGACCATGAGAAGTATTTGAGATAAATAAGGACCAATGTCTTAAGAACTTATAATGCACCATTTTTTTTGAGCTTAGAAGAAATTTAAGACTTTAAAACATCAATGCTAAACACCAAAAAGAAAACAAAAAGTAAAAGAAAATTCAGTTACCAGTTAGGCTAACTATTAGAAACCCACCAGCATGTAAAATAAATCTCCAAATCACTACAGAAATGAGAAATGTGGAAAGAAAAGCAAAATCCCATAACAAATTCTCTTTATCACCTAGAAATGACCTGTTATCAACTGCTTAGGTTGTCTCTGAATTCTTTAAAAATTAAGAATACATGTGACCTAGGAAGTACTCCTGGGCGTTGTGACC